TGGATAATTAAATGATTTAAACAATCAGAGACAACATGGATTCCAGAGCTTTGAATCAAATGGCTGTGTTCCTGTTGAAGTGAAGCTGTGGCTAGAAAAATTTTGTTCCCTGCTTGGTTTTTGCGACAGATATGTCAACAGCGAAAGGAAATGCTTCCGTTTTCATCAGTCAATTCCAGTAATTAAATTTTATTGCCATTCCCGATAGCTTTTTGCTCGCAGTTTCAAATGCCGTCCACTACCGCAGCTAGGCCAGTCAAATCCGTTAAGGCGGGAAGACCTATTGTTCATATTAGCCAATCATTAAGGAGACATACTGCCTTTAATGCAACGTCCTATTAGAAATACTTCGAGGTTTTTTTGAATCAAACTTCAGTATTGAAGATCATTTTTATAAAATCTACAAAAGAGCTGCTAGAAGGTTACGTCTGCTGAGAATAATCCGTGAATTGATTTAATGAGGATTGATTTACACGTTAAAAGTGGTGCCAATTTTCGGATACTAGGGGTTTATCTTTCTTGCAGTCGTACGAGAACAGAGTACAAAAGTTTTGAGCGCAGAGCCTGAGATTTTATAAAATAAAATGAGATGACATCACCAAACGTTAACAATGTGAGACCTTTGCATACCAAAATTGATGCAGAAATTAAGTAGCTTTATGCTTGTCCTAGGCAACTTATAACAAAATGTTGTGATGTTATGAAAGATGCTGTTGTTGAGAATACATACGATAAAAACACAAGAAACCAGGTACACACACTGCCGAACTATCTGTTAAGGTACCAAGGTTGAAAACGGAATTTGGGCGGAGGGCTTTTATTTCATGGCTGCAAAAATTTCGACCAATTCTCTCAGCTCTGACAGTCGGTGGAACAAGTTTACATGCGACATGCTCATATAATTTTGTTGATTTATTTTTCTTTATCGTGCCTTTATTGCCAAGTTTTTGTAAAAGTAAATGACAAAGCCACATTAATGTATCTATGTCCGAGATGACGAAGCAACGCCGAGGTAAATCTGATACTCCCAGTTCAGCAGGTGCACCTCCTGCAAGTTTAACCATGGAAATTCTTCATGACTTAATGATCCTGCGAAAGTAAAGTAGCGAGAAAGGATTGCACTAGTAACCTAATGTAATTCTTGAAGATCAAAGTAAGAAATGTAACATTTTGGAAGATAAAATCACCGTCCTGTAGAGCCATATCTAGCAGGCCCACCTGGAGAGCCATACCAACGCCACCTTTGCTTGCGTATTAGGAACATTGATTTGCTGCATGCCGGGGTGAAGGAATCAGCTGACGATTGCCTTGACGAATTCAAACATCTCTCTGTTAACTTGAGCCCTGTTTACACTACAACTTTTAACCTGGGTTAACGCTAACCTGGATTGAACCCAGGTTGAACCCACTTTCGTTAACACTACATTTGCAACAAAGTATAGTGTAAACGCAAAGTTGGGTTGAACCCAGGTTAGATTCGTCACGCATGCGCTTCGTTGTGAAGGACGCTTTCTGGTACATGAATCTAGCTGTTGCTGGTTGTCTTCGTCCGCCCACATTTCGATTAACAGACCTCTCAACCTTAAATTTTCAAAACCTGGAGATTTTAGATTTTTCTTGAAGAAAAACAGGGAGATTTAGTCAAAAACAAGGAGATCATAGTAATTCGTTAAGGGAATAAATATACCTGATAAAATGTTGTGCTCGGCAAACAGTTTATGATAAAAGTGATCATGAGAAGTAACTTCATAATAACTTTTAGTGCATTTTTGTCAATCAGTAAGCACTAACAAAAAATTGTTGTCATGTGGAAAGTCAATGTGACCATTATATCTCAATTATACCTCTGTAAAAAGAAAACATACACAATGGAACTGTCTTTAAAACATAAGATGCGCAGTTCAGTTCATTCAAAACAATCGGTGAAGAATCTTCTTAGACATTCTGCTAGACATCTTTAAAACCGGGAGAAAAATTTTAAAAACCGGGAGAAAGCAGTCACAACTGGGAGTCTCCCGGCGGAACCGGGAGGGTTGACAGGTCTGGATTAACGACATGACTTCATCATCGCCCCATAGTTTACCGCTTTCAGCCCTTGTTTCATTCATTTTCAAGACATGCTGCTTTAAATTGAAGGTCCTTTTTGCATGAGCGTTCCAAGATTAATTTGTTTTGAATTTGTGTTTGGCGCCTTTCATGGCTCAAAAGGCGCATGCGCGAATTAGATCGTCAACCTGGGTTCCACCCAGGTTTACGTTTACACTGCATTTCGAAGTACTTAACCTGGGGTCAACCTAGGTTCAACCCACCTCCAGAGTAGGGTTGGTTTAACCCAGGTTCAACCCAGGTTAGCTGCTTTACACTGCAAAATTTCTAACCCAAGTTAACGTTAACCCAGGTTCAACCACGGTCAAAAGTTGTAGTGTAAACAGGGCTTTGGAGCAAAAGTTCCCGAAGACGTAATCGATCGAGCCCACTGTGTGGGCAATTACCAACCACAATAGAAAGAAAAGTGGCGCCATCTTGAACGCCCTGAAAAACCAAGTTCATGGTGATTCGAAATTGAAGAAGCCGAAGAATTCGTTTACATAGGCTCAGTGATCAGCACTGAAGGATCGAACAGTCAAAATAAGAAAAAGAATGGCGATGGCAAAGAAAAGAGTCCAAAGAATGAGCCAAATTTGGAAAAGCAGGAACATTAGAGTTCGCTTGAAACCAAGACTACAACAGCTTGCGAGCAACAGCTTTTGCGATAGCATCGTTCAGATCTGAATCCTTGGCTATAACAAAGGCTGGCAAAAACGAGCTGATGCGTCTCAAATGTTGGCTTAAAGAAGGGTGTCGAGGGTCAGTTGGAGCGACAGAAAGACGAATGAATGGATTCTACAAAAGATTGGGACGTGTATGACGTTAAGGAAGAACATCGCCCTATTCAAGCTACAATACTTCGGTCATGCGATAAGAAGGGGCGGCCTTGAGGCGACAATGATCCAAGGAGACACCAAAGGAAGAAGACCAAGGGGACGACCATCAGCTCCGTGGAAGAAAGACATCCAAAATTAGACAGGAAGAGTCATCAGCTATAAGATCGGCACTCACAGAGACAGTTACAATTTCGCTTTCAAGAAAATCATTCAGTTGATCATCCATTAATAAATATGACTGAAGCTTTCAAAAGAAGCTTTGACAAAAAACGCATGGGTGTGGTATATTTATTGACACACAAAAAGCCTTTGATACTGTTAATCACAAAATTTAATCACACATGCACTTTTGTGGTTTAAATCTTATCTTAAAGATAGAACAAAGTTTGTTTCAAATAATAGTAGAGATTCAGGCCCACTGAAGATTACAAGTGGTGTGCCTCAGGGATCAGTGATAAGACCCTTGCTTTTATAAATGTATCTATTATGAATAAAAAAAACTTTGACAAGAGGGTGAACAAAGAACTTAAATGTGTCAAACGTTGGCTAGCAAAACCAACTTTTTAATTGTTCACTCTTCTGCAGCTTCGTTGCCATCAAAATTGGTAAAAAGCACATTTCCATGGTGAAATCCATTAGATCCATGGGACCTCTCTTAGATGAATACCGTCATTGGAAATATCATCTTGCTTAACTCAAAAAACTGGCAAGAACCTGTGACATTCTCTTCAGGATTAGATACCTTCGTCCAACATTGATAGCAACTTATAATGCTTTGTTTATGTCCTTCTTACAATATGGTATCATTGTTTAGGGACAAACGTTTGATTCATAAATTTAGCCATTATTCAAGTTACAGAAAAAAGAGCTATATCACATCAAGAATTCCTGACTCTCTTTTATTCTCTTCCGATCCTGAACAACTTAAAACAACTTAGAATTTCAGATGTCTTAAAACTGAAACTATTATCTTCTGTTTATGAATCAACTAATAATCTTACTCCAGTATATTTTCGTAACTTTTTTGTTCCTAATTCATCAATTCAGTGTCACAGCCCAAGGCAATCAACACATTATGAGCTGTTCATGATTAAAACAAATACTTTACAGTTTGGCTTGAAATAAACTCGATATATGGGGGGGAAATTATGGAGCAATCTATAAATTTAAAGGGCAAGAAAAAATCTACCCACAACTCTTTTTTAAACAGTTTTGTATAGTTATTTAAATGTCACATTTGTTTAAAATTTCAAGTTTCATTTGTATTTTGTTTTAATTTTTAAAGTTTTGTTTATACATATTTTATTATACATATACGTCTGAACGTATTGCATCACTTTGATGAACGAGTAATGGCGCCTGAGTTGTAAATATTATGACCTCCAAAATTCAAACCACTTTTCTGAAGCCATTAGACGTCAGTTCAAAGTTTAAAAACAATCAAATATAACTTCAAATATTGGAAACATTTCAAGTTTAGATTTTGAAAAACTATATTCTTAGAATAGCAAAACCTTACTAAATTTAAACGTGTACAACTTACTCAATTTAATCAAATGCTTTTGAGGCAGGTTATGATGGTTATGATGGTTTAAAAAAACTTTCGCAAGATCACTTTGAGGTGTCTGAGGTCACAGGTTATAATTATTACTGGCCTTGAATTTTGCAGAAAGTGACACTTTTACGACCGATTTGTAATGAGGAATCTTTCGATGCCATTGAGGCACTTGCGTGTCTCTGTTTGTGACTGTTTATCGCAGAAATTTGAGTATTTTCTTTCAACGAGGAGATAAAATGTTGTTTTGAGCAACTTGTAGCATTGTGGGTTGATATATTTATCAAACCTGTTGATACCTTGAAGAATAGATTTTGATAAAATTTGCAGCTCAGTGAGGCTTTGAGCCAAATAACGACTCGACTTTATATTTGTTGTTTAAAAGTGTATCTTACTTTTACAATTATAATACAGTCTATTAAATTCCCAGTATTATTCGTTATGGTACTCTCCCAGCACTCAGTAACCAAAAATATATTCCGCGAGACTTTATTTATCGTGTATTAATTCTTCATCTGTAGCGCATATGCGGCTCATAGTCGGAACATGGATGAAATTTAAAAAATAGAAGAATGCAGGATCCGTCGAATGCCACCTGTCTTGATACTCTTGCAATGAAGCCCTGAAATTATTGAATGAAATTATTAAAATTGTGTGGTATGTATTGGTTTTATTATATCAAGATTTCTAATTCAAGTGTTTTGAGATCACAGATTGTTTTAAGTAATTCTAGCTTTATTAACTTGTTCCTAGCTTTATTTAGAATTAACATGAAGAAAGCTGGCAAGGAAGGGCTAAGACATTCTTAGTACTCAAATTTGACAGTTAGTTTTAACCCTAAGATGTCATGTCAAGAATTTCACGAGTAAAAATTCAGAACATCAGAAACAGAGTCAGGAAAACATCACGGTCCTGCGGCCACTGGCCGGAGGAAGGTTGTAGGAACAAAAAGCAATCGAGGAAGGTGACAAAAGATTTTGGAAATTTGAGGAAGTTGAAAAAACGTATTGCTTCTTGTTTTTCAAAATACAGTCAGACCAAAATTAAAAAAAAACCAAGTAGTATATATATATAAATAAACTTCCTGTCTTTTTCATATGTCTGTGTTTGCAGAACTGCTTAGCTCCGTAAAATTAGGCATTAGCTCCTAATATTTATATATTTAGTTTATGACACGCTTTGTTTGAGTTATTTGTTTTTTAATTGACATATTCACGGAACTTAACATTTGCCTCAAAAATATCTATAATTGAAAACAAGCTACAATTTTAAAAATGTTTTGGAAAAGCAGAGTTCAAGGAGAGTGGATCAAGTCTGGCTGATTGCCCCAATTTTCTGTCCAAGCCCATTTTCAACCCATTCAAAATGAGGAAGGTTTTATAGTAAAATATTTTTGGCTGGAGGAAGGTTGACAACTTTTCTGGACTCTGAGTAGAAAACGATTTGTGTTGTGTAGATCGCCTTATTTGGAACCTTGTCTTGCTTTTCTGCATAGCTGCTTTGTTGAGAGGTTTGTGATGGCAGCTAGATTGTGATGCTCGAGATTGTGTTTTGTTCAGTTAATGGATTCATTTTTGTGAAACGTTTCATCTATTCCATTGTTTTCTTATTATTTTTTTGCATTTGTGTTTTTACAAAACAGATCCATTAAATGTTTTCTGCCTACAATCTCTTCCAAAAGTCTATCAGTTTCTAAAAAACAATTTTAACACTCATCTCAATTGTAACAATGTTGGTTTACTATAAAAAAAAGCAGGAGAATATAGAGTACATTAAGACTACCAACATTGTTCTAAGGAGGGAAAGGGTATGAAGAAAGCCGGCATTGTGCTTTAGCACAGTCTGCGCAAGTGCTTTTCATCCAGCAATCTGTGTGAAAGAATATATTTATAAGAATGGTAAGTTTGAAATTTTTCTCCTTTTGACCAATTTGGTTCACTTTGTATTTTGAGAGTGGCCAATGACCGGATCACATTTTATTTGAGCATTCCGGTCCCTTTGTGGCATAGGCGTACGGGGTGAATTCAGGTAAGGGGGGGGGCTGAAATATTTTTTTCAAAAAGTAATAATGCCCAAATTTTTACGGAGTATGCTCTAACACGTGTAAGCTTCTATCATTAGTCAGGAAATTATTAAATTGCAACGACATGAAAATAATGTAAACTAATAAGCATTTTTAAAACTTCACACATTTTCACAAAAAAGCGAATCTCTTCCACGACAGCGTCCAAATTTATCGATTATTTCATCGATATCTTTGTGAACATGATTTGCATCATTTTCAGCAATTTACACACTTTTTGCTTACCGGCCTATTCTTGTGATCATTGAACAATTTGCGCTCTATTTCAAGGAAGTCAGAAACTCTATTTGGTAGAAGGAGCAAACCTTTTCGATGATTTCTGTCGAAGGGTTAGCATTCATGCTTGCATTCCCTAATCACGGGCCAGTGGCGTAACGCAGTTCAGGGCACCTTGATTCAGCGTTTTTCAACCTTCTCTATCCACGGCACGTTATTTGCAGATAGTTATTATTTTTTTTTTCAATTTTATTGACCAATTTAGTGAAATTGGAGAATTTTCCACGGCACACTAGGCAATAACTCAAGGCACGCTAGTGTGTCATGACACAGTGGTTGGAAACATTGCCTTAGTTTTATAACCAAGGGCTCCTGACCAAAAGGGGCCTAATGTGCTTTTAAGTCCTTATCTTGAAAGCTTTGCTCAAGTTCAAATAACTTTTGAAAACTTTTAAAGTTCTTAAACTGAAGCTCTAAAACTCAGTTCCCCTTAGCTAACGATAAAATAATTCTCATTTCTATCTTGTGTTTGACATGCTTTACACCATTTAATGTGATCTTCTTGATGTCCGTGAATAAAACTCCCGTAGCAGTTTTTTGTGCCAAAGCATATAAAATGCGATAGTCACTATCACTAAATCGCGCATAGATTTCTTCCTAAACTTTATCCATTACATTACACGGTATCCATATCCATTACATTACCATTTCTTCCTAAAAATTTTTACAAAGCTTTGCTTTCCAGATGGGTTTTTGGGTCTTTACCCTGCAAAGAAAATAAGTGTCCTGTCCACTGCCTTTTCCCACTGCCAGCCCAGTGCGTTGCGTATTGTTCCTAATATCTATATGACGGTTCATGTTCAACTTTTCTCTTTGATTCAAAAATCCTTTGGTGTTGGCCTCAAATGAAATTGTAGAGACCTTGAACAACACCAAGCCCATTTCTCATTGACTCACTTACTGCAAGATTCAACTGTCCAAGGCAGTGAACATAGATGCTCTTGGAGAACAGTCTCTCATTTGCTTTGCCAAGCCCTTAGCTTTTTCGCTCATTTTAGACTGTCGAAGCATTTGACAACTAGTTTCTACATACGCTTTTAAATCCAATGTGTACAACTGCTGAAGACTGAGTTTTGTAAAATTTGGCAAAAGCTTCCTTTCGGACTCCATTCAGTGCAAAACTGAGGGGAGGCTTCAATCCCCCGTCCCGTACGCCATTGCTTTCTCGAACAGTGATGCCTTATACAGACCATAAAATCGGTATGAAAATCCACAAGTAACTCTGGTCGGGACTCAATATTTTCGAACGGGATAATTATTTTAGTATTTTAGGCCACTCAAGGCTTTGGTTCTTGCCTTTTTCTATTATGATAATACAATGCCAGTCCAAGGCATTGGTAAATACAACATGCATTTTGTGGACCGAACTTTTCTCGTTACAGGGCTGAAATAACTTCTCTTTAATATCCATGGAAGTACAAGTTTAGAGGAAATCATTATTGCCTGCTGAACAAACTTGGTGATACAGGCAGCTGATTTCTTTTTGACTAAGGAATTCCGTTGAAAATATTGGCCAATAAATGCTGGTTACATAATTTATAAACCCATTTCCTTCTTTTCTTTTTTTAAGCTTTTGAAGAAAACAGTAATGTTCCTCCTTTGAACCAAGAATAGCCAAGGCATTGTCAGCAAATCGAAAATTTACCACCGTTTAATGAGGGAATGCCGGACCTAAGGGGCCACAGGGACGCAATCAGATTGTCGGTACATTTGAAAATTTAAAGTAAATTTGCCGCCTCGCGTAGTAATTAACACAATTTTTTTTAAATATCCTTAGGGATTGGGGGCTGTCAAGGGCGCTGTGGTTCAAAGGATTATCGCATATCCCTATGGTCTCGCCCTGGGGTACTTTGGTAAACAAATTGCTTGGTACAAAGAAATAATGCACTAAGCCGTGCCTAGAGCTAGATCGAAATGTTTGGGGTTAGATTTCTCTCAGATTTTTTCTCATCTGTCTGATAGCTTCTGTAATTTTCCTTTACGCTTTTGACCAATCATTTCCCTTCAAATGTCACTCCTACATCACAAGTGTGATATTTTCCTCCTTCAACTCTTTGGAAGCAAGTTTTTAATGCTTGTTCTGCCTTTTTTAATATTCTTTCTTTTTTATCCATGTCTTCCCTTCGTTTTTTCTTTTCCCTTTTTATCTTTCCACCCTTTTCCTTCTAAAATTTTTGATCTTTTGATTTTCATTGTGGATTGTGATGCGTGATGATATCTGCAACATTTAAGTTTTTCCATGAGCTTTAATCTTAGCCTTTCTTATGTGAGGGTATTTATCTTTTCTACTCATCTTAACTTTGTTTACTGCTATTTTTTCATTGACTTTTTTGTGCATCGGCAGGTTTTTACATTTTTTTCTCGCGTTGATGATCAATAGAGATCTACATTCATGTATTATCTTAATTTCAGCATGAAAGGTATACAGACGCATGTCCAAACCTCAGACCATCAGGGTTGCGCTATTGCTTTACAGAGAGCGAGGGGCAATCCTCTCTACGAGATTTTTACCATAAAAGTGTACACTAGGGTATCAAAAGTATTGCACCACCCTGCCTAAGGAAGCGAAATTGTCAAATGAAAGGCGAGTCGCTATGAAATATTTACGGGGAAGTGGTCTTCAATGTTCAAAAAAATGTTGACAAAGTTAAATGCAGCTACACAACAACTGCGGTAAATCAAAAAGATTTCTCGAGAATGTTACAGTAGTAAAGAAACCGAGAAGTTGGCGACCAAAATAAATTTGATGTTAAAGGGGAAAGAATTTGTCGGTTTTAGTTCAGTACGTACAGCACCAAGGGGCAGTAAAAGGCATGAAACCCAACACTGCGCAAGGTTTTGCAGCTCAAAATCCGTCCACAGAAAATATAATGAGTGTTTTGCACAAATACAAAAGAAAAAGTTACCCGAGTAAACGGAAACCATTTTTACAAATATTTATTTCCATACAAGAGAAATTAAAGTTTTGACATAGCCAGAATCAAGTCCAATCTTTAACATCGCTAAAAAAGTTTGACTTCAAATGAAAAATGTTACAAACTGTGATCCAAATGGTCGTCCAAAAGCCAGAGAATCATTAATTGTAAGAATTTTCCAGGCCTATTGCGAAATTCTACAAGAATACGTTGACCAAAAATGTGGATCCATTTCAAGGAGGCTTTTTGCGGTTTCAAAAGTTTGCGGCTACCTTTCAAAATATTAAAATTTGAAACTGTTAAAGGACGTTTGCTACTGTTATTTTTTAAATAAATGCTCTAAATAGATTGAATTTTTGATTGGTGGATGTTTTGCTTTCGACCAATTGCCATTGGCGAATTAAAACACAATTAATTCGCATAACAATAGCTTTCGATCATTCATTCGCCATTTCTCCTCCTTCGAGGTGGTGCAATACTTTTGAAGACCTAGTGTATTTGGAAAGATTTTCCGAAGAACAATAGGATTTCCACCCAAGGTGTACGAGATTTCTTTAGAGAGATTTGCCCCTCGGTTTGCTTGGCCTCCAATTCTTGAGGATCTTTTAAATTGAACAAACCCGAGCTGCCACTGAAGCAGGTTCAACAATTAAATGCACCGCTAGCTTGATAAAACCTCGATGTTCAGTTAATTGGAGCTAGTCTTCTGTAAACATTTTGCTGTTTTTTAAGAAAAGAAATAATTAAGTAAGACCGTTGACATTCCACAAGTTTATCTCGAGATGGTACTAGATGAGTGCCGATTTGCTTTTACAAACGCTGTTTTCACTGACGAATACTTTGGTCATTCCAGGAGTGGCGGCATGGGGGGGGCAAGGGGGGGCTTTAGCCCCCCCTAGATTTTTGTTAGCCCCCCCGTCGGCAGCCAATCAATTTTTGCTCTCTCAATACCGTCGGCACTTGATGGATGTCACCCGGTTTACAAGTTGTTTGAATGACATAAATAATCGAGGAGAAAACTGCACTGGCTGGTTTATGTTTTTCTCAATGGCTTTTCTTCGGCAATTTTACTATCATAGTGGCATTATATCCTGTCGCTTCCGTGAAAGCTGTGACTTAATTTCATGGTGCTCCTTCGCATGACCCACAATACCATCGTGCTCCTCTCGGTTGAAATCCCTGTTGCTGCTCATGCGAATTCATGCGAAACGTACCAGAAAAAATACTTCCCTAACCCTAACCCTAACCCAAACCCTAACCCTAACAACAGCAAAATCACGTTGTCATAAATAAACTCTTTAATGAATTTTCTTCTTAAGGGATTCTCTTTTCGTTTCAAGACATTATTATTGCCAATGAAGACATTTCGATCATGAGCACATTTTGAGTAATAAATTTTTCAAAAAGCACTTCTTGTCCTTTTTCATCAACTATTTTTCAATAGCATTGTTCACCGCATAGCTTCCGACAAACAAATGGTTTAGAGAAAACCATCGATTAACTTCTTCCAACATAGATAGGAAGAAATATCCAACAATAGGCAATATTTGCGCATTAAGTTTCTTACAAGGCACAATTTGCCGAGAAAATCTCGTGGACTCCGACACAGGTTGGAAAGTGGGGGCGGGGAGGGGGCAAGGGAGAATTTTGCACCCACAACAAACGATTTTGGAAAAATGCTCTATTGCTTGCTCTATATGCTTGCTTGCTCTTGGAAAAATGCTCTATATCGGTGCCCCTTCATTGGAGGTGCTGCTCAGGGGGCGTCGAGACTGGGGGGTTGTCACACCCACCCCAATAGTATCTCAATAGGAAATTTCAGGTAAAATCCGCTCGGTGGAAGAAACGCTTTAGGTATTTCAGAGACCTTCCTGTCATAAAATCAATGAAGGATCAAGCAATCTTAGGTAAAATTGTGCCTCGTGTCCATTTCTCCTAAAGTTTCTCAGTAGAAGCGTCAACTGCAATTCACTATGAGCTCCAGATTTTTCTTAACATTCATAAGGCATGCTAAGATGGAGAGAGGGATCTAAATTTAAAAGTAACTGACAACCTAGTATTTTTCAAGACCACAGCGAAATTGTTGTTTTTATCTGCTGTAAGAATTTTTTGCAAAAAGACAATAATTTTCAATAGGATTAGGAGGATTGCTTTAGTGAAATCTGCTTAAAAGAGTGAATTTTCCAGGGAACTAGAAGCATCACAATTCGAAAATTTCCTGCCCCTTCGGCGGCAACCATGGTGCCGCCTCAGGTAGTAACTATATATTTTGCCCGTCCCGATATAGAGATTTGACAAGACTATTAGCGAGGCTTGCCTAGTGACGGCCCTGCCTGCTATATGGGGCAAATCGAATTTTTTTTCTGTCGGCAATTTGACACATCCAGCGTCGGCAGTTACGGAGAATATAAAATTCGGCACCTTGAAGGTTTGTCTCTAGCGCCACCCCTGGGTCATTCTAAATTTATTTGAAGTTGCTAACAGTTTAGTAAATATAAATGTCAAATTCTTCTGCTTTTTAGTCATATAAAGTTGTTGCATTAATCTGTTCATGATTCAGTGATGCTTCTGCGGACTGTGCAAAAATTTTATGTTTTATGGTTAAATTACATTTGGTTTTAAAGCATATCTATTTCTTATCTTTGGTGAAAGGTTTTTGGCCCAAATTTTCCCCTTGTATCTGGCAAGCAAAAGTATACTCTCCGCCCAAATTTTCAGATTTCACTGTAGACACAAATTCTTCTACTGAAACAGAACCAAAAGTATTGTAGAGAGCAACATAAATTATTCATCTATCTTTATTGCCTT